GATTCTTCTAAATCCAAGAGCAGTGGTCATCAGTGCAGGATGACGGACATAAGCGAAGGTTTTGTAGCCGTCTGCATCCATCTACTAATTTCATTAGTGAAAATCTGTCTTGTGACAGAAAAATACTTCCAGTGGTGATAGCGCTGCCTCTTTAGTAATAAGCATAAGGGCGATCCTCGGTGATTATTGAGAGCTTTGCAGCTGCGAAGTAAGTAAAGAGTTTATGTTATTGCAAACCGCAATTTAACACCACGCTCATCTCATGGTTCATATAGATCTTCTAAAATGACAAATGTTTCTGTACTTATTGCATTTTAGCTAGTTCAAAGAATATATTCTTCTCGCCGGCAAGCACCTATTCTGCCTTTTCTATGTTGCTCGCTGGAACGGCTGGCGAAACAGAAAAGGAAATCGAAAAAGCTCTTCATTTGACCCACCAGGAACCTAAATCGAAGCTTCACAAAGCAATTGCAAAAGATTTGGATAATCTCCTTATCAGCACCCCAGAGACGAAAGTCTACATGGCGAATAAGATATTTTTGGATAAGGGCTTTCCTATCAAAACTACTTATTCGTCGCTTGTTAGTGGGTGTTACTCAGTAACGCCAGAAGGGGTTAGTTTTATGCTGCGTTCTCAATCTTAGCCAATATTCTAGCTCAAGTTTTCAGACTCAGAGGCTTCTCGCGCCCATATAAATCAATGGGTGAAGAACAAGACCGAAGAGAAAATAGGCGAACTCTTCCCCAAGGATAGTATTAACAACCAGACACAGATGGTTATTGCTAATGCTGTCTACTTCAAAGGTAAGAGCCTACAAACCCCTCACATATGTTGGTAGGTGCTTGGGATTTACCATTTGAGAAATCCGACACTAAAGATGGCAAGTTTACTCTGCCTGGTGGGACGAAGAAGGATGTGAAGATGATGTATCAGGAGATCAAGAACGCCGAGTTCAGTGAATTTGAAGATATGGACGCGAAGGCTGTTTGCCTTTCTTTCAAGCAGTCCAGGTATGTTTGGCGGAAGAGAAAGTAACCGACTATTAACTTTTCATGGTTTCCAAGTGTCCTACCTATGTCTCCCATTTAGGCTGCGTTTCTTTATTCTGCTCCCGAATGAAGAAGATGGACTGCCGCAGTTGTTTAAAAAGCTATTCACTGTTGGTCCGAGGCCGGATGGCTGTGGTGATATGCGTTACCTGGATATGTTTCTCATGACCTCTCTGTATTATTCAGAGAAAGTCCAGTTACATCTTCCGCGGTTCAAAATTGGTGAAGATGATCCTTCCATAAGCCTTGTTGATCATATGGAGAAGTTGGGTGTCAGCAAGATCTTCAATCATGCCGTCGCCGACTTCTCGGGCTTGACTGACATTGCAAACCTTTGTGTGTCTTCGATCCTTCATCGCGCTGTACTAGAGGTGGGCAATTTCTCTGCCTTTACTTTTCGACCTACAAGTCACTTTCAGCACTATTATTGACAATTGCTTATTTAAGGTTCTAGATGATGTTTAATACAAGTATGGACTATCTGTTGCCTATTTGCTTGTTTATTAGTCAGCTCCACCAGCTATGACAAGGAAGTCATTTTTAAAGGTAGTTAGCCAGCGTGATTTTCACAGTTTTT